CCATCCTCATCTCATGGTGTTCTAAGATCAAAAGGGGAGGAGGAGGAGAAATAAAAAAATTATTTTACAAATTAAAGTTAGGAAAGAAAAGGATCATGAAGCACCACTTTTTCTTTCAAATGGAAAAAAAAAAAGATTTTTTAACATTTAAAAAAATTTCCAACCTTTAGAAAAGGTGCAAGATCTTACAGTGAATACCTGTGTACTCCTCATCTAAGCTCCCCCAATGGTTAACACTCACCTTTGATAAGTACTGGATGCTTCGGAGCAAATCATGATCTCTTTTCTTCGACCACATTCACACTGCAGCTCTACCTGAAATAAGATTAACATGGAGTGACTCTGGGCACATGGAAACCACATGCAATAAGCAGGTGTGACTTTTCAAGACTCTCTCAAATCAAACTATGGCAGAGAAAAAAGAAACATTAAGCTCTCACTCTTCTGAATGGGAAAAGCTCACCACACGTGCAAACTGACAAATCAGAGAGTTGACATGCCAGGAAGGATGTCCCAGAACTACCTCTATGCTTAATCCTTGCTGAAGAGGAAAGTCTAGAAGGAAGCTTTTACCATATGACTGCAGGATCGGCACCCCTCCAACCCAGCCCCCATCTGACGATGCCTGAACCAGAGGGGGACACTTGACCCAGGACCAGCCAAGGGCTGGCCACCTGCTTTCATGTTCCTTACTTCCACATCCTCAGGGGGGTCCTGCTTGATCCCTCAGACCAGGTTAGACCCCCATTTACATGTTCTAATATCATCCTAAACCACTCCTCCATGACACTTACTACGGCCACAATTAATTACCTGGGTAATGACTTAGTGAGCATCTGTCCCATGAAACTGTAAGGGACTATGTGTCTCTTCTTCACTGGTATAGTCCTAACACCTGGTACAATGTCTCTCACAAAACAGGTACTTATATATTTTTGGAATAAATAGAGTGGGCAATCAGATCTCTCTTGAGAATCTGTTCTAAGGGAGACAGAGACTGTGGTCAGGTGGCAGTAGGTACCTGCTGAACTAAAAGGCCCTATCAAGCTGGGGTTGGGGGGTCGGGGCAGCCACGCTGAGCAGATGGAAATCTGTAGAATTAATGCCACCTTTCTCTTGCTAGCTTAACTTGAAGTTCCTTGTAACCAATGACCCCTGATTAAAACACATGCCCAAGGGCCTCTGCAGGTGGCCCTGGGCTCACAGGCAGTCTCAGAACCACAGTCAATGCCCTGCCTGGCGCCAGGAATACCTACCTTGGCTTTACAAGCAGTGACGGGGCAGGGTGAGTTGGAGTGGCAGGGAGCCATACATGGGTGGCCACAGTCAGCTCTGGGGGTGGTACAGGGCTGCTTGCAGGCCTCATCCACAGCACACTCTCCTTTGTGACACAGTCTCTGACATGTGTGCATTCCACATGGCAGCATCGCACTGCAGGGTAATCCGCAAGAGATATCAACCAGGTGACAGGGGATGTTGCTTCGTAACTAGGGAAGACAGAAGTAGCCAGATTTTCATCTCTGTGTGGGATATGGGGTAAGGTTTACTTTCCTCTTTAAACATTTCTGAACTTAAGAATTATTATTTATTTTTTTACAATGAGTATGTATTTTATTGTAATAAAAAGAAAGTTCCTTTTATCCAAAAAAAGATTAGACTTCAAAGTCTAGAAAGTTAGTTTGAAAAAACAAAAAACCCAAATCTGATCTTCATTTAATACTGCTTGTTATGATTCCAAAAGGATTTGTGATAGCAGCCAAGTGTGATTTGGAACACAAACTCTCCGATGTGGGCAACATGCACACGAAGCTAGAGAACTAGGGAG